GCTGATCATGTAGTTTGTGTACGGGAAATTGATGGTCGTATCGCTAGTGCAGCTGTTGACGAAAGAGGAAAGGAGGAAAATTTTAAGAACACGAAGATTTCGTTGGATGACGTAGATAAGATCTTAACGAAAGATGATAAAGGAATCGACATTCCATTTTATTACTACTTCTTTGATATCGTACTTCACGTTGCAGCAAAAGAGGGATGTGGTGTCTTGCGATTATCCACCTGTGAACGTCTTGGGGAAGATTTAAAACTGGAAGAAAAGGAAGTGATGGAATCTCTTAATTTCTTGCACCATATCAACAGTATCATTTATTATCATGATTCTAAAGCCTGCAGTGACCTGGTGTTTGTTAACATAGGCAGTCTCATCGGTATTCTCAAGGAGTTGATCGGGCGTGTTCATATTCTTCACTCCAAAGCAAGAAAATACGTTGGAGATGATGACGTTATAAAGGGGATCCTTTCAGTGGCCAAGTTTAAAGAGATTTGTAAAAAACAACTTGACCCCATCACAAAAGAGCTAAAGGTTAAAGATATTGCAACGAAATTGCTGAATCTTTTCCTGGAGCTCTCAATAGCTACACCAATAGATGATAAATATTTCATACCAGCTCTCCTTCCAGTAAGAGATGTTACAGATATCAATCCTTATGGTGATCGTGAGTCATTGCTGTTTTACTTCAAGAAGGCTACCCCAATGGGCCTTTTCTGCTCTGTTGTTACTCGTCTTCTTTCCAGCTCTTGCTACGAAATCGTTTCGATAGAAAGTAATTTTTCTAACTGCATCGAATTGAAATATTGTACAGAAGGGATTGCGACATTCTACATTACTCTAGTTGAACGGATCGATTGCATTGAAGTCCATTGTGAGGAGCAGAGAGGGGAAGGGATAGTCAAGCAAGATGTCAAAATGGCAATTGATTCTGCAGCTGAAAAGCACAATCTCAGTGCAAGTCATGAGATCCGGTTTTATTGTTCGTGTAGGCGTGGTACTACTGGAGGTGGTGTTGGAGGAGGTGTGGCTGAAGGGAGGAAGCATACAGTTAAAGTTGAGACTGTCAATGAAGAGCATATCTTCCGATGCAGTGAGAACCCACGTATTAGATGTCAATTGAAGAAAAAATTATGGAGCTCCTGGCTTGACGGTAAGTTACTTATTGCTACATGTATATCATTATTATGATTAATATTACTATCATTAATATTATTATTGTTTTGTGAAACAGCTGCTAGTTTATTCTCTTCTTTTCCTATTCTTTATTCTCTTCTTTTTAATGTATTAATATTAAAGGTACTCCAGAAGGCTGTCCTTCTCCACAGGAAGCTAAAGGTATGTCACTTGATTGTCAAACTGAACACATTCCCAATCTTACTTGGCATTGAGTTATATTCATGCGATCCTTAATACAAGTCATGATTAGTTAGTTAATAATCAGAATTATGTTATTTTTTGATTTAATAGTCCAATCTTCTCAGATGTGCCCACTGTTTACTGCTGTGATAGTGTTAATTTTTATGTCATATTCCTGTAGATCCAAAGGAGATACTACAGAAGTATTCAGCTAAGCTGTCCAAAGCAATATCAGCTAATGTTGGTAATATAGCTAATGCATTGTTTGCCGAAGATCTAATAACACAAGGGACTAAAGAATATGTGACAACAGTTGGTGTAGCTAATGCTGATAAAGCTGATAGAGTAATGACTGATGTCATGGGTCAATTAGAAGCTTCTCTTGATGAAAGACAGTATTTAGTTAAAGTGTGTCATGTATTGACTCAACAAGGTGCAGCAATGAAAAAGATAGGAAATGTAATGCTTAAAGAACTAGGTATGTACATGTACATATAAAGTCAATTAATGTTAACCTTTTGTGTTCACAATAGGAGAAGACACTGCTGCTGTCCATCCTCCTCCTCCTCAAAGTGAAAATTAATTATATTATTCTTTACCTGGTGCCATTGCGACTGTTGTATGCATTTGGTAGTTACTGTTGTAGATACTGCACAAGATGATTTATTGGCCGGAGTAATATTTGGTGAATTTGCCTGTGGAAAGAAATTGGCAAATTTTATATTGGTGATTTCTAATTCATAAAACCGCCAATCGCCAATATTAATTCCTTGCCAATAAATCATCTTGTATGGTAGACCTGATCTTGATTGTTGTTGCAACAGTCTGTTATGTTAATGTGCATCACACTCATTTCATTTTACTGTTTCTTTGAAAAAAAGTAGAATAGATTAATATTCATTGATACTAGTTAATGTATTATTCGCCAAATTTAACCCCCTCCAAAATTACTGTATTGCATGATGATCCAATCAATGCTTATCTTCTAATAATATCCATAGGGATGCCAGAGCTCAACAGTGGAGCATTCTTAAAGATATTTGGTTCTTCTGCTGACCAATACATCCTAATAGGGGCTGGATTGAACGTAGATGTGGCTGATCTGTTGCAAATGTCAGGCCCAGCAATGAATAATCTCATTATGGTGTTTCAGAAGTGGTCTAAAGCCAATAAAAACTTCACTTGGGACGCATTGATAAAACTTTGTGATGACTTTCCTGATCAACTGGGCAAAGCAAAAGCTATCTTAAAAGAAGAGCTTGGTATCTAATCTTAAAAGAATGATAGCAGCTGCTCATGGTTTAGTTATTATTATGATGCTTTTTATTGTTTTTTAATTTCTTTGTTCAAGCAAGAGTCCATTATATTTAGTATACCTTGATTATAGTCAGTAGCAGCTGCTTATTTTTTAATTTTTAACAGTTATTATAATGCTGCTTTTCCAGTTCCTTTGTACATGTCAGTATCTTTTTAAAACATAATCCGGGCCCACACATTAATTCAATCAATTAAGAAGTGCTGGGGCGTGTTCTTGTACACAGAAACAATGGAGGACAAGCCAACACTAAACGAGCTCCTTACTCACGTAGACGTTGGTACAGAGTGGCTGAGACTAGGGGTGCTACTGGATCTGGATATGAAAGATCTAACCGCCATAGAACATGAGAGACTCACCATAGACCAAAGACTACAGCACATGTACGCCCTCTGGTTGAAGACAAATCCTAACGC